TAAGTATTAACAGTTCTCACAAACATCCTCCTAATGGCTTCTCTCATTATTTACATCTTCATTACTGTGTGGTATGCTGCATTCTCACAACTGATGAACCAACAGAGATGGTTTACTAAAGCCAGTTGATATATATATATATATATTTTTTTTTTTTTTGGTTTTTACGAGACAGGGTTTCTCTGTATTGTTTTGGAGGCTGTCGGGCCAGGCCGGCCTCAAACTCACAGAGATCCGCCTGCCTCTGCCTCCCGAGTGCTGGGATTAAAGGCATGCGCCACCACCGCCCGGCTTAAAGCCAGTTTATATTAAGGTATATATTTTAAGCATGGCTATCATCTTTATAATTGTTAGTGGTTGTCTTTGGCTTCTCTAGTGCTTTCTATAAAGCATCGGTTTTCTCCCTCACGTGCTTAACTTTATCTTCTTTCATCTTACTTTGGATACTGTCACTCTATCTTTTCAAGTCGGGAGAACATGAGTGCTTCATTATTAAACCTGCCAGCTCCCATACAAATGGCCTCAAATTTCCAACAACCTCCTAAGTCTCCAGGATCTATTTTATTTCTCTATTTTCCCATCTCATTATTCCTCATCCATCCTGTTGATTACATACTAGATAGATACTAGGTCCATTACAGAGACAAATATTTTATTTTGGGACTATGAAGAGAATTATTCTAAACCCTTTGAACTTAAAAGCTAGAACAAACACTCTTCCTTTTAAAACTTGTACTTATTTGTGTGTGTGTGTGTGTGTGTGTGTGTGTGTGTATGTACATGTACACATACCATGCATAAAAGTCAGAGGAGAATTTGTAGGAATGTGTTCTCCACTCCTACCATGTGGATCCCAAGAATCGAATGCAGGACATCAGGCCCCAGAGCAAGCACTTTTACCTAATCAGTCATCTCACCAGCCCTAAAGCAGTATCGTCAAATGATCCTCAAGCATTCCTTTGGTTCTTGAATTACTTGGGCTAATCTTCAAGGTCTTTTGTAATTTGATACATTCTGTTGGTCTCTAGGCACTAGTTCCATTCAAATCAAGTATAACACACAGAAACTGGTCTTTATTCTATTTTCCAGCACATAATGGCTTTTCTGTCTTCCTCTCAACCCAGCCAACACATCCACCTGTGAAATCTTAAAATCAAGTAATAGCCGACTTGTCACAAGTCACTTCTGCATTTAACACAATATCAGATTAATACAATGCAATAAAAAGCAATATAGAAGTGAACTTTTCTCAACACCTATTTGATCTTAACTTAATGGATTGTCAGTTCCTGCTACATGTTTAGATTACTAAAGAACACTGCAAATGGATCATGACATTGTAGATAGCTAATACTCATTAAAATGCAACAAATATTTAACAAATCTAAGAACATACCTTGCCTGCCAGGCGGCTGGAGATGATTCCATTACTAGATATAAGACAATCAGCAAGGGTAGTTTTTCCTGTTAAAATAGCATTAATTACCACACATTTGTTTAAAGGGGCTAGTTTTTCCTAGTAAAATACATTAATTACCACCCATTTGTTTAAAGGGGCTAGCATTCTACAGTGCTATATTTTCTACCTGTGGACTTTACCAATTGCACTTGAAAAGTTGTCAAATTAATTTTAAGCACAGAAATTTTTTAAATTGAGGTAGACCTTACAGAGTAAAACATATGACTTTGGTGAGATAAACCACTAGAGAATCAAAATACAGATCATCTTGTACAATAGTATACTCTATAACTAGAACCTAGCATTTAAGAAATTAATAATTTACTAACCATCCTATACAACTGATTATACTTATAAACTTAGGCTCTAAAGGCTCAGAATGTCACAAGGTATGCTAGTAAATCATCACCAGGAAATGACAGCACACAGTCTTCTGTCATAATTACCTATGTGTGACCCTCAACAACATTTGCAGGTTAAACTGTTAACATTTATTTCATAAGAAAATTGCAAACTGTTGTTTGCAGTGCAGCCTGTAGAGCAGTACAGAGCAGCCAATGCAACCCAGTTTCAAAACTAAACCTAAAATCTACTTTACAATAAAAGAAATTTGTTGCATAATCAATATACATTTACAGTTACCCTTACCAGACTATTGCCAAAGTGTTTAAAGAATGGCATGGGCATACTCAATTCCCACAGTTGGGTAGGCCTAACAAATGGTTGGATTTTTCCTTCAATCCAGCTTTTTGTAGTCTGTGAATATATAATCTGTGAAATCTGTGTAATAGCATAAACCAGGAACCACTCAAAAGGACCTCTGATGATCTTAATGTGTTTTAGTATATAATCCTAGAATATCACTTTGCTGCTATGCAACAAGAGTAGAATTCATTCTAAGTATGCAAACACACGAACCTTACAATATACCACAAAAGAGGGACTTTGCATTACTAAACAAGGCTGACCCTTGGACAACAATGTTTCATACATACACACTGGTGAATCTGCTATTAGTTTTCAAAGCAAAAACAAAACAAAACAGAAACAAAAAGGGAAAAAGAAACAAAGTGAAACCTTTGGCAAGACCTCATATCCTCCAAACGTGCATACTATCATAAAACCCATGGGGTAGGTTAGTCACTGATTTGTGTACAAAACTCAATCAGTTGGTTCTTCCTACAAGGTGACCCATTATCTCTGTTTCTATACTACCTTCAGAGCTCACATTAAGGACAAGAATCACCAAGCCTCTTTTCTGCCTTCCAAACCACCCAAGTACCTTTACCAGTCTAATCAAATCTGTAATCTGAGTACTTCACCCTTGCTTGCTTGCTTTCCCTAATGGCTCCCTACATGATAATAAAAAATGCTAATCACCATTTTCCTGACTACGTATTTCATTGCTGACAGGAGATTCTCATAACCATTCTTTTACATAGGCTGTACACCGCAGCTCAAATAGGCAAAGTAATTTGAAAAGAACTCAGAGTTTAGGATGGCTAACTACATAGCTAGAGCACTTAAGCCTTCTCTTAGAACCTTGCAGGCTTGACAAGCTCTAAAAGACAAGACCCAGCCTGCCTCTCCCCCATCCACTCCCTCACCTTTAAAATGCTGAGTGGTTTTGACTTCACAGGCCAATCTAAACAGAGCTGAGGCTACTAGAAGAAAAAGTTTCAACTGGCCAGCAGACTCAGAATGAAGCAGTCTGACAGTGTCAAGGAAATGTCTACCAGAATCCCACAAACAAACATTAGCTGAGCCGGCCTTTACTGTACACTTTGGTCACATCTGTCTCCTTCTGTCCCTGCTCACACATTGCCGCTTATAACGCTTGTCCCCACCTACCAGCTAGAGTGCCCTCCTGAAAGGGCAATCTGACAACTTTTCCTAACCCAACCTGGCTACCCAATCCTCCATTTTTCAAAACTCTTATCTACTCCCCCTCCCCTATCTCATCATGATTCATCCCTAAAATCGCTACAGCTGGGCAGCTGGCATCCTCAGACACGTCTAGATCCTGATATATTTAACAAAATGCCACAAACTTAGCAAATGTTCATTCAGTATGGATGAATTAAGTAAGATCCCTAGGAGATACTCTCTACCAAGACCATGGATATTTTTAACATTTCACAAACTCATCTTTTAACAAAGATTCAAGCTCAAATTTAAAAGCATAGGAAATCCTATGCAGAAGAATGCTAATTACCAGGTAACCTATTACAAATGTTTTACAGCATGCTTCTCTGACATCATACACACACACACAAACACACACACACACACACACACACAACTTCTTAGCAAGCATCACTTTCATCACTCCAATGACACGTAGAGACATCCCTTTGTTAATAAAAAGCCATTTTTCAAAAGTCTTACCATGGTCAACGTGAGCCAAAACACAGATATTTCTGATGTTGGCGGTGTTTTTCTGAAGCTGAATCATCTTATCAAGGCCATTGAGCACCATGGTTACTTCTTTCCTGTGACTAAAAATTAAAAGCAAATTACAAGTGGTACAATGTTTAAGGGTCAGGGGGAAACAACAACAACGACGACCAAAAAAAAAAAAAAATGAACAAGCTGAGAGACAGATGCTGGTATTTACAAGCCGCCTCAGATTTCTCAGCTGAGACCCCGAAGAATGGCTAGCCACATCTAATTCCTTCTGCCTCTGATGGGATACGACAGTCAAGCCCAAGAACAAGTTCCACTGCAAAGTCCACACACATTTACAGCACTTGCGGAGTGAGCTGGGAGTTTCCGGATCTGAGGCGCGATGAATCACGCAGCTGGGAGCAGGGAGCAGAGACGCCCAGCCAAGTGACACCACGCCCCCGTCCAGGTACTGAGGCTCAAGACGACCACCGGAAAAGTGGGCATCTCCCTCTTCCCCACTTTAGCTCCTCCGAAAATCTGTCGCTCCTGTCAAGCTCGCTGGCTTTTTACCAGACCGAAGGATCTCGGCCCGGAGACGGCACCGAGTGTCCCTAAAACTTTTGGATCACGTGCTGGGGAACACAGCAGGTGCATGACACATCGCCCGTCCCTCTGCGGCTAAAAAAACGCAAACCAAGGACTGCAAGCTCTTCCTCCGTCCGGGCGCCGGGAGTCGTTGCCGGAGGCTCCCAGGGTCCTACGAGGTGCAGCTGCCCCGTGCCCTGCTCGCCTAGCCCTACCGCCACGACCCCCGGGTCCCCACCACCGTCCGGAAGCCGGCGTCTCCCGCAGGCCCCACTCACCGGCTCCCGGAGCGCTTTACTCACGCTTCCAAGGCTCCCGGAGTAATTCGGGCCGGAAGTCGCAGGCGCCGGGAGGCGGGGCCTGCAGGCCTGCGACCTCTGACCCGCGCGCGTCTCCAACCCCGCCGGAAGTCGCGTCACGCCCTTCACCATGGAATCCCGCGGTCGCCTTGACGACCGCGGACGCTGTGGCTGCTCTGAGGTGCCGGCTGAAGCCCTGCGGAGCCAGACGCCGGAGCCAAGGCCATGAGGAACTGGTGTCTGTGTCAGATTTGCACCTGCGGGTAAGAAACGGAACGGCCGACCAGGGGTCGGCGGGGCCGTAAGCACCGCTCACTCCTCGCTGCAACCCCCATTACTTCCTTGCCTGAGGGGCCAGTGCCCAGCGACGCCTCCACTTACCCTCTGCGAAGTGCACCCTTTTTCTCTGCTTGTCTGGCTCCTGGGGCAAAACTTTTCCTCTTTGTAATGCCCGAGACTTCCTATTCAGAGATTTAAACTGAAATACAGTCCAGCCCTGGTAAGTAGTACGAGCGAATATGGCTTATTAAGTGATGGAATCTGGACGGGGAAGAGTTCGTGCCCTCCCCACCACCACCAATTCTGATGGTTAATTTAAAAAAAACGGTATCCAAGGTCTTTAGTTAACAACCCAGGGCTTTCCATCATCTAAACCCTATTGTTATTCCTGCTCAGGGTCTGCCTGACAAACAAAAATGGCAGTAGTCCCCACCTTAAACCTCACAACCTCCCCCCACCAGTAAACACATTCATCTCTTTCCTCAGCCTTACTGTTGACCCAGAGATTAGGTCACCTTTGCTAAGTAAATATGAATAATTCCAAGCCCTTTGTATTTCTAATCCTCTTCTAGGGGCAACCACCTACAATGCATGGTGATTGAAAGCAGTTTTTATAGGGAAAAGGGACCAGTCAAAGAAACACACCCCAGCAGAGACAAGAAACACACTTTGGCCCTGCAACCAGAATCAAAGAAATGTACCCTGACCCTGAAACCAGTGCCAAAGGAACACACTTTGTCCCTAAAATTGAAGCCAAAAGGCTAAAAAGGACCAGAGAAAGAAACACACTTTGGCCCTGAAACCAGAGCCAAATCTGACCCTAACTCTGTGTAGGAAACTAACCAATCCTTGAACAGAGCTCTAGCCAATCTGAGCTCAGCATTGAAATCTGACCAATCCCCACCCTGGAATCCCTACATAAACCCTGTGTGTGCTCAGCTTGTGGCTGTTCCCTCTACCCGGCTGTCCTCTGCCAGAGCAAGGTTTCCCCGTCAAAAGTGTTGCACTCTCCTGGATTCTTCCCTCCCAATAAACCCCATCTATGACCTTTGGGTGAAGACCTTTGGCGGAGGCAGAGCAGAGGCGACCCTGGGCAGAGCAGAGCAAGCCGGGCTGTAACACTTTGGCCGGGGAAACCTTGCCCTGGCAGAGCAGAGTTGCTACACTCTGCTGTCCACTCCTCCGAGAACAGAGCTGAACTGTAGCAACTTTGCCCCGGAAACCTGCTGCTGGAGCAAAGCTGCTACACTGGGCAAACATCTCCAGCTAGAAGAGCCTCTCCTGCCTGAGCAGAGCAGATACACTGGGGAAGCCTTTCCCTGGGACAGAGCTGTAAGCCGTGAAGCTTACTGCGGCCTGTGGTAGTCCTTGGCTCCCAAGCTCCAGGATACCTTTCCATCTGAGCTGCATGACTCCCGAGTGCCAGAATACCTGTCCCACCCGATCCGACCAAAATGCCTACCGTTTTTCTGCCTTTTTTCCTAATAAACATTGTTTGTATGTAAGTATGGGTACAAACACAACTTTTAAGGTGTGAATCTACAAAATCTGGTAAGAAAAAAAATTTTAATCTGAATTTATTTGCAGCATAAGTTATTTCCTATCCAGCCATCAAGAAATTCATTGTGTTGGGGACTCCTCATTATTCAAATAATATCATTATCCAAAGAGGTGGGGCACTGCCAATGTAAGAAATAGCCTCTTTAAGCTTTGGAGCATGGCTAGTAACTTCTGTTGAAGTGTCCCTTGCAGAAGTTTAGTTTCTTCCAAGGCAGTGTTCTGCTCCTTTTGTTTTTTATAAAACGAGGCACAAGAATCTTTGACAAAATGAAGAGTTACTATGTATGACACACATATTTCCACTCAGCCAATGGTTTTTAAATGTGGCTACCTCCATGGGACACTGTCTCAGAATGGGACAAAGATTCTTCACCACCATCCCTGTACATCCTACCTTTTGCCTCTTGCCCTGTTGGAAGGAAAAAGGGAAGATCTTTCTCTATTCTTGTTGTTCAAGACCATCTGTTAGATACCTTTGCATGATGTAGTAGCAATACCAGACAGGAAAAAGGAGGAAAGTGCCATTTGGGCATGCAGTTCCAGAGGGCGCCGTCCATGCTGTCAGGCATGGTAGAGTTCTTGTTCCTGGAACATGAAGCAAGGCTTCTTACATGCTGGCAGACCAGGAAGTAGAGCCTTTGGAATCAAGAACCAGGCTATCATCTTTCAAGGTCTGCCATTAGCCACCTACTTCTACCAGGTAGGTGCCAGCTTCCAAAATCCTTCCAGAATGGTTCCATCCGCTGGGAAGCAAGGATTCAAAACGTGAGCATTTCAGGTTCAAACCATATGCCATCTTTTCTCTCTTATGAACCTTAAATCAATTCCTTTGTTCTCCCAATAGGAACATCTAATTTCACATTTTTCCCTAAGGCAGGGTTTCTCTGTGTAACTGTTCTACCTGGCCTGGAACTCAGAACCAGGCTGGCCTGGAACTCACAGAGACTTGCCTGCCTCTGCCTCCTGAGTGCTGGGATTTTAGGAGTGCACCTCCCTGCCCAGCCAATTTAATCATTTCTATGAGCTGCTTCTTCAAAAAAGAGAAAGATTTAACAACTGTGAACAGCTATAACCACTAGAAAAACTATAAATCAGAAGAAAGACATTTTCCTTTTAAGGATTACAAATGTTAGATTATGAGGCTTTTGCTTTCTTTTATAATTTGTCTGCACTCTTTTATATTTGTCCACAGTCTTTGGTATGCTACAGTGTGAAGGCAGTACTTTGGTGGGCATGAAAACAGTGGCAATTCCTAAAATGTTGTGTCTTGTTAATCAATGCAGCTCTATCAGAACTTTTATTTATACATGACCTGTGTACTCTCCTCCTGGATTTTCTGAGTGTCTTGGACCCTGCATGGAACAAAATCACTTCAGCACTTGATAGCAGCCTCATTTTGGGAGGGGGCATTGCTGAGTCTCTTGACTCTTCTGACTTAAAGCTTCTTAGACACATGGAAGAATAAAGATGTGTAATCAGGATGCTGCCTAGCATCTCCCAGCTCCAATCCCTCTTGACCTCTACTATATTCCAACTACTGAAAAAGAATGTTGTGCTCTGCCTCCGTCCTTTTGTAGCTATGTTCTGAATCAGAGTCACCCGTAAGTATCTGTTTTAGGTGAAACTGAAATGGAAAACTTGTCTGCCAGACATCTAGGAAATTTACTCGTTAGCATTTCTACTTCAGTAGCATAAGAAGTCACTAAACTGTGATAAGCAAAACCCGTTTCTGCTACATAAGGCTATACTGTAATTTACTTATTATTTTTATGAGCTCCAATGCAGAGAGGGAAGCTGTGCTAAAGTTCTAAGTGGTGAGTTCATTGGGGATCCTGTTAACCTGTAATAACCACAGGAGATGCTTTTAAGGCAAAATAATGTTTCAGTTTATTTGTTTGTACAGACGGCATCGTTGTCCTCATGGAACCACAAGGGTTTATGAACATTCTGGCATATCTTGTCCAACAACGGAGTATTTGGAAAAATATCCAAAGTATGGCGATGTTCTTCCACCTCAGAGTCTTAAACCCAAGCAAGAATTTCAAGCACACCGTGGTAAAATGGAAGGAATAACTACATTTAAGTAAATATTGAGAAACTATTTCCTTATTTTTGGCCCAACTCTTCTGACCTTAATAAAGTTTTCTTACTATTTAAATTTAACTAGCTTGTTGAATTAAGTTGAACTAAACTTTAGAAGCAAAAACTAATTTACAACTTGAGAAAAACAGAAAGGTAGGAATTAAGTACTTTGGCAAAGAGAAGGAAAAACAAAAGGTTTTTCTGATTTTTAATTGCATAAAATAGCTCATATCTATGTACTTTGCACTGTTTCTACCATCAAGATGAATACCTTTTTCCTAATGTGTGTGTGTGAGTGTATTTGTACTTATGCTTGTGCATGCAAACATGTATGTGTGAGTTCAAACATGTATGTGTGGGTATGTATAGGTGTGTGTGTGTTCTAGTTTTTGCATCTCTCATTGGTATCCAATACATCAGCCTGCCAAGGCAATCTTTTCAGTGTGCAGATATAGTCCTATCATGGTTCTACTTAAAATGCTTTAAAAAAGTTTCTGTTTTTTAGCATAGACTCAATCCCTTCCATAACTACATGGATTATCAAACCCTGCTTGCATCTTTAGTTTGTTTTCCCTGTTTGGAATTCTCCTTCCTTCTTTTCCTAGCTAATACTCATCCAATCTATAAAGATCAACTCAATTTTCCTTTGTAACTGTCATCTCTGACACCCTACCTGTGTTTTATTTAGCTATTGAGACCAAGTAAATATCCCTCTTGTAATTTCTCATAAGATCTTACTATTTGTTATTAGATTCATTTCAGTGTTCTATACCAGCAGGATGTACATCTATTCTTTTCTCACTATTCCATCCTCAGGAACCTAATACAATGCCCATTACCTACAGTAGGTACACAACATTCCTAAAAGCAGGGGCTTGGAACTCTTCCATGATTCTCTCATGTTGATCATATTGACTAGAAAATTTAGGGGTGATTTATCTATACTAAGAATAAGTCTCATTCTATACTATATGTTTCTATGTTTCTATAACACAGGAAGAGACTGTGTGAACTTGTATGAGATCTTTTGACATCATAATTGTAGCTCAGTTAGGTAACTGTCAGGATTGACTGTGTGCATCTTTAAAATAACTATGATGTACATGATAATATTGTCCAATATTATTTAAAGGGAAACTAGGGCATAATCAGGTTAACTAAGTTATCCAAGGTTATGCAGCTATTGAATGATAGAGCCAGGATTTGGATTCAGGAAGTCCAGTTAGCCTTGAATCTCTGGTTTCCTCCATTCCATTCTGTCTCAGCTCCTGCATTACACCTCCATCACAATAATGTTGTATAATGCATAGGGTGGCTAGATTACCATTTCATTCCCGTCCGTGGCCAGGGCTTCTAAGAGATCCAAAATCTTAGTAAGGCTGACAACTGTACTATGACCCAGAGTTAATGATCATTTTAACAATGCACAGGAATATATTGTGACTTTCGTAGGAAGACACTGTGCCTAAGTATAGTCTATGCAGGTGAATGTGGCTTCTGACAAAGTGAATACAGAGCAAGTTTTGGCAAATTATCAATTATCAGCTCACCAAATCTTTCTCTTGAGATTTCCCTCTACATTAGATAAAATAAAATTACTTGAGAATTTTACTTACAAGATCAAATTGAAATGTTTCAATTTAAAAAAACTAGGATTTGTCATGTCTTTTCTTGTCATTGAATAGAACCTTATATAACTATTCAGTTGCTTCTTTCAAATAATAAGCTATTACAATTTTATTATCTCCTTAGATTGTTCAAGTAAGACAAAATTGAAGATTTCGGTACTATAATAATAAAAACAGAAGAACCAGTGAGGCTATGTTTCACAGACACACACACCCACACTATATATATATATATATATATATATATATATATATATATATATAAAATTTCAGGTCAGATTATCGTCCTTATGAACTTGTCAAACAGACTCGCCACGTACCAGAAGAATATAAACCCAAACAGGGGAAAATTGATCTTGGTACTACCTACAAACAAGATTTTAATCCTTTCGAAGTACAGCCTGTGGTAAAAGTCCGTCCTGTGGAAAGACAACAAGTTGAAAAAGGAAAGTTGGACACTGTCCCAACTTATAAAGGTAACTTGTCATTGTAAAAACAAAGGTACCCCAAACCTAAAAATGCTGTCTTTGACCTTTATAGTCGACTAGTAATTTTCTTGTATTATCATATTTAGTCACCAGTTAGGAAAGAGCATTCTTGTCTTTGACCAAAATAGTATTGTTAGCAAAACCTAATTATAAACAAACAAACTGCCTCATGGGGAATTAGGAGTCTTAGACTCTTTCCACATTTATACCCTAAGTTTTCTGTATCTCAGAGCATATTAAAAGCAAAGGATGTCACTAGACAGGGATATATGCTACACTTGTCACTTTGTCATATTTAGTTGGTATTATCTTTTTCACCCTTTCCTAGCCTATAACGAGTAGAAATTCATTATGAGAGAAAGTTGGAGTTATTGAAAAGATAAAACAGCAACTGTGCTCTTGATACAAATTCCAGACCAACCTGTAAAACTAACTAATTAGTAGATTAACAAGCAGAGTATTACTTTTATACTCTAAAGGCTAGATTGGAGGATCTATGAGCAGATGATTCTTGATACCGGATTTCAGAATAAGGTAAACATCTTCACGCTGACAAGCAGTTCTAGATGACAGCATATAGGCCCTGTTCCTCTAAGCCTTGCTCGCAGCAAGAAAGAAGTGGGAGTGTACTTTCCCATTGTTAGCAGCTCACTTACAAGAGAAAGCGCTGGTATTGTATGATTCCCCCCTCCCAACAAAAACTCACATGATTTTAAAATGCTCTATTGCTCTTGGATCTTCATTTAAAAACAGACCATCTTGATAATGAGCTATTCTGGTTTGCTTGTTTTTCATTAATACACAGTTGCACAGCAGGCTTATATTCTTTCTGTTGGTTATGTGAAGTAGCTGAATGAGTATGTTCCAATATAAAACATTCTGCATCAGTGTTAGCAGATATAGTTAATTAGATAATAACTAATGAACACTTTAAAAACGCTTAACATTAAAGAGGTAAGTAAAATGCAAGGTATCAATATACTATGATCTGTCAGGGAAGTTAGGAATAATGTTCTTTCTGATTTTGAAAAAGTTTTTTCTGGTTTTGAAAAACTGAGTACATGCACTGCTATAGAAGAACAAATTATAATGACCATGAATGGTAAATATAATCAAATACAGCACAAGCAAATTGCTGAGATACTGATATATAAAAGATAATCTTGACTAAAAGATAATCAGTGAAAATTACTATGCCATTTATGAAACCATAGTAATTTTCTTCTGTGTAATATGTATTAAAAAGAGAAATACTCTGTCCTTTGATGCACACAGCATATCTAACCCTTACAGACACATAGTGTTCCAGGTTTTCAGATGTGAAACAACAACCTCTACTGTACTTAATTTTGTGTGATTGTAATTCTCTGTGTGTACTTCTGAATACCTTTGTAAGAGCAGGTATCTATTATAGTCTAAGAGTGGAGGGCAGAGGAAAGACACAAATAGAATATTACAGAGGAAAATATCCTACAGTGCAGTAAGTAGATTTACATTTCTGAACATGCGGTTTCTTGAAACAGAAATTTTGTCTGTCCTCAGCTTAGAAATTCATGTTAAATTTTAGATACTAAAAATAGATTGCTGTGATTTGATAAAGGTCTTAGGGTTTCTCTGCCATATGCTTGCTATTATAGAGAATACTGAGCTATAGATTGGAAGGTCATTCCTGACATTCAGAAATTTTATAGCCAATATAATGAAGTAAAAACTCTGTACACTGAAAAATATAGAACACAGATGAAAGAAGTGGAAAGCTATCTTTTATCCATGGATTGGGATAAATAGTATTAAAATGCCTATGATACCAAAGCAGTCTACAGATTGAGTGCAATCCCTAAGAAAACTCTAGTGGCATTTTCTCAGAAATAGAAAACAATTCTAAAATCCACATGACACCCCCAGAAGACTAATACTCAAAGCAGTTTAGAGAAAGAACAAAGTCTGGGAGATATTTCCTGATTTCTAACTATATTAAAAGGCTACCATAATTAGTATGCTAATAACAAGAGAATGTACACACAGACCCATGAAGCAGAATCAAGGGCTCAAGTGTGTATATTAGCATATATAGCCAACTAATCTTCAGCAAGGGAGCTATAGATATACAATGTAGAAAAAATAGAATTTCTTCAATAATTTGTATTGGGGAAACTGGATAACTGCAATATAAAAATAATAAATTTGGTTTTTATACCACACACAAAAATTATAGGAGAAGAAAGACTCAAATAGAAGACCTGAAATTGTAAAACTCCAAGAAGAAATACTGACTTTGGAATTTGTTCAGATAGGATGCCAAAAGCACATACAACAAGAGCAAAAAGATACAACTAGGATTATATAAAACTAAAAAACTATGCAGCAAGAAGTGAAATAGCAACATATGTATTTGAAAAATATTTGCAAAAATATACCAGATAAGGAGTTAATATACAAAATATATAAGAAACTCAAACAATTTATTACAAAAAATAACCTTATTTAAGAATGGCCCTTGAATCTGAATAAACATTCTTCCACAGAACACATAAATGACAAACAAGTACATGAAAAAATACTTAGGGTCACTAAGATAGGGAAAGGCAAATGAAAAACAAACTAAGATACACTTCACATCTATTTCTTTGGATATTATCAAACAGTAAAAGAAAACTCCTGTTGGTAAGCAAACATCAAACAGTAAAAGAAAACCCCTGTTGGTAAGAAAACAAAAGAAAAAAAAGAAAAAAGAGAACTTTGTACTCCTCTTCATAGGAATAAAAATCCCCCCCCACAAAAAATGGAGCTTCCATATGATCCATCAATATCTAACCAGGATTCATAACAGAAGGAAATGAAATAATTACTTCAGAATTATAATATGTATTCCTAGATCCGTTTTAGCATTATTCACAACCATGACTGCTTATTAATTGATGACTAGGTAAAGAAACTCAAAAGTTAGGGGAACAATTCAAAAATTTGTATTTAGTATTTGTTTGTTGTGGCATGCCTGTACTACCAGTACTTGGAAAGCTGATAGAGGACCTCAAGTTCAAAGTCAGCCTATCCTATATAGTTCAAGACTAGGCTGGGTTAACACAGGTATAGCTTGTATCAAAACACAGTATAGAAATAGGAAGGATTACCAAATGCTAGAATAAAATAAGAAAAACCGCATAAAATGGTGAGGGGTGGGAGCAGATTTCTTGAATGAAACTGCTGGGGATCAGAGTCAGGACTCAGAAACTAGGATGTACTCTATAAATGCAGGTTGAGATTATATTGGGAAGAGCCTTGATTGACAATCTGGACATTTTATAACCATTATATATTTAAACAATGTTTATGTAGCACAGGCTGGTGTTGAAATTGTATATTTCAGAGGGTGTCCACCTGTCCACCCACCCCCCGTGTCCCCATCTCCCCATAACTGACATTGCATATATGTGTCACCATGCTCAAATATGTTACTTATTTTTATTTTGACTACATTACATATATTTATAAGTTCCTATGAAGGTGAAAAGTATGTCATAGGTAGTAGAAATCAGTGCTTTTATTATAACAACTAAGAAAATAATATAAAAATTTAAGTCCTTTTAGTACCAGGCAGCTTGTGCAGGAAGAAACCTAAAGTTCCATAAAGTGCTGTCCACCTTATAGATAGATGAGCTACTAATTCTGTGAGAATATTTGCCAAGTCCATATACAAAATCAATTTACTATGGGAAAAGTAAAGCAGTAAGCTATTTGATATGTAAGCTGACCCAGATTGCAATATACAAAAATCCCATATACATTGCTTATTTCTTTGTGAAATTCGCACTGTTTGATGGATGTACTGAAAGACCGAGCCAAAAAATTACAAGAAACACCTAAGAAGTTTATTTGGGAGTAGATGCTTAGTAGATAAAGCCTATTAGAATGAAGAGTTTACCACAAACACACCCAAATCATGTCCTAGGGACATTTAAACATAGAGCATGACTGTGTCTACCAAGCTTAATTTATATTGGATTGAGGGGATATACCCATACCCTATATGCCAAATATCTGAAAGCAAAATTTCTACTAAAGAAAGAATTTAGTTTCCATGGTTCCTTTGTATGGAGATAAATAGAAAAAGAACTACCAAAATTTGTGATAGAATCATTGCATAGATTTAAGTTCCAAATAGATAAACACAAAAGAAACTTCCCCCTAGATAAATTCCATTTTTAAAAGGTAAAGAATTCTTAAAGATGATGGAAATCTATTTATGAAAAAAAATTGTCTAGAAAGAGAATTAAGTAGACTTTGTTGAAGCCCAATGGAACAGCATGCAGTTCTAAATAGGATGTCTATATCAAACCCCTCCCCCCTCAGGTATCAGGAATATATGCAGAAGATGAGGCAGAAAAATTTTAAGAACCAGAAATGATGTCTCCACGGAAACAAGTCTTCCAGACACAACAGGGCTGATGCACATATGAACTCACAGAGAATGTGATAGCATATATAAGATCTATAAAAATTCAAGCCCAACAAAATCCCAACATGGAAAAGGTGAAGTGGGCACAAAGTCCCACCCTTAACCAAGAAATTATTTGCAACTGATACTTCCTTACAGAGGGAAAATCAGTTTTCTCCAATTGAATGAGTGACTTAGGGTATATCAACCACATTCCCAGACAGGACTCATGCTCAGGAGTAGTTGATCAATGTTTTGGTGCTCATGAGTGGTGTGTGTGTGTGTGTGTGTGTGTGTGTGTGTGTGTGTGTGTGTGTGTGTGTGTGTGTGTGTGTGTGTGTATGTGTGTTATGGTTTGGTAATTCTTGTATTTTGTTTTTGATTGAACATGAAGTGTTGGGTGAGTAAGATCCAGAGGATCTAGGGAGACTTGCGGAAGGATAAATAATACAATCAAAACGTTGTATGAAAATTAAACTTTTTAAAATAATTTTTAAATGCCACAAGAAACTATTTAAATATACTGAATCTCAGACTTATATAACTAGTAAAATTGTCTTCAAAAATATGACAAAGATTCTTTAAAACAAAAACTGAGAGAGCTACTAGCAGCACAGCAATACTGCAGAATTTTAAAGGAAGATCTTGTAGTTGAAGGAAAATGAATCAGATAGAAACATGGAATCTATGAATGAATAAAATAGAATGTACAAATAGAAAATATGTTGCTAAAATATTGATTTCATAAAGTCATGGTATGTTTTCAAACAAATATGGGATTGAAAATGTTAGAACAGTAGCATTAAAGAAAACTATTGTGGAAGTGTTCACAACATCTGCATACATAAGCCAGAGAGGTTCCATAATTAGTGAAAGTAAACATTTTATTTAAAAATGGAGGAAGGCTTATTGAAATTCTAATAAAGATAAGATAATTAAAAACCTGTGCTAATTCAAAAGAATAGGAAATATGGGATGGGGAACATATGAGGGAAAGCAAATAGTGATATAGTCAAGACTAGCTGGATCATTCGTGGTATTGTATATAAATAATTTTAGAGTGGTTTTTCCTATAAGGGATTTAAAATCTGATGTCAAATTATATTTATATAAATTGTGAAAATTCTTTGAGAAAGATAATCCACCAAATTAACTTAAGAATTAATAAAGTTCAAGTAGATATCTGTTACAGAAACTGAATTTGTAGAATTGCAGATGTAATTTAAAATGATAAAGAATGATCTGGGATTTCCAAGTTCTGAGTAAAATGCAGAAAACTGAAGAGTGTTCTCAGCCAAACTTGGAAAAGCTAGGCAGGTAATGTATAGAATCATAAGCGTTCATGAATCCCTTAAAAAGTTGAGATCATAAGTCCACTAACAAAGCAAAAGCAGAAGAGGTATCATGCAAAGTGAATGTTGCAGCTTGGAGACAAGAAATAGGAAACAAGAAGCAAAACAAAGTTTTTAAAATTCTCCTCTCATGTATTACATTCCAGCCACAGTTTTCCCTACCACCTCTCTTGTCAGTCTCTCTTCTTCTCCCAAGATCCATGCCTCTTCTGTTTCCCTTCAGAAAGGGGCAGGACCCCCAGAGTTATCAACCAAAAAAAGAAACTTCTTAACATGAAATGAGACGATGTCCCTCGAACTAAGCATTGCGAAGATCTATCTGCCTCTGCGATGCAGGATAGACAGATCTGGAGAAGAAAAACAGATACCTCTCCATATACACACAGTAACCTACCTCACTTGGAAATGAGTACCATCAGCTCACTGCTGGGAAAGGGCAGGATATGGAGAGACACATTTCCTGAAGTATAAAAAGCTAAAGATGGACCAGATAAATGAAAAGCCTCCCCACAAACCAGCCTCCAACCTGAACACAGGAGCAATACCAAAGACATTCTGGTCCTCTGAATGCAAGCATAGCAACAGAGAGACCCAAACTTAATTATGGATTGGACAAAACTGACCTCAATAAAGCTCTGAGAAATGAACATGGATTCATTTACGATTTCTGGTTCTCAAATTATAAAAGGGGAAATGAGGAGAGAAGGGGGAGGAGGAAAAGGAAGACATTTTCATGAGACCAAAGGTAAATTCAGTCTAGGAAGGAGTCAGATAATGGATTTATCAGAGAATCAAAAATTATGACTGATGGTCAGAAACAAGTAGAAAAATTAGCCTAAAGAGGGAAAATACAAAAAGGAGAATGCAATAACTAAAAAAATTAATAGTGATGACAATACCTTACATAGGTGTTTGAGTAGATAAGAGTACACCCATAGGGAAGGAGTCATGAACTTCAGATATAAACCAAATGTAAGGAGGGAAAACAGCATGCAGTGCCCAAAGCTGTAGACCACTTTGAAATTGTCCTAACACACATGTACTTAAAATACTAGAAGGTGGGAAAAAATGGGAGGATCACCTGAAGATTGAATAGAAAAGATTTTTTTCCATAAGTAATGAGTGACATCAAAATATGGACCCAGAAAACTTTAAAACGCCCAAGCTGGTTACATTTATAGTTTTAAAATCACATAGAAACATACAGACTGCTTAGTATGAGAGGCATTTTATAAATTCAGGCATGTTGGTACATACCTGTAATCCTGGTACATGGTAAATAGATACAGAAGAATCAGAAGGTAAAGACATCCTTGGCTAAACAAAGAGTTGAAGGCCAGTCTGAGCTACATGAAACTTTGTCTCAAAAACAACAAAAAAGAAGCAAATTAAGAACATAAGAGTGAGGACTGGTACCGTGGAAACTAGAAGATAATGGAGTTAATGTCTTGAAAATGGTGAAGGCTAGGGTCCATCAACCATATCAACCCTTAGTGAAAATACCTTCTATAAAGTCTTTCAGACAAGAAAAAAGAATTATCAAAGATAATATCAATGTCATATGCAGGGTTTTTTTTCGAGACAGGGTTTTTCTGTATTGTTTTGGAGGCTGCCCTGGAACTCGCTCTGTAGACCAGGCTAGCCTCAAACTCACAGAGCTCCACCTGCCTCTGCCTCCTGAGTGCTGGGATTAAAGGCATGTGCCACCAAGCCACCAACACCCAGCATCATATTCAGTTTTAAGAGAAATTCATCAGGTAAATGTAATATGAAGCAACAGAAACTTGGTCTTCATAAAGAGAAAAAAGTCCCCAGAAATAAATGCAACAACAATATAGTGTTTATGCTATCAGATTTGGCTGGTTTTTTTAACCGACTATAAAAGTACAAAGTAAAAGAGGTAAGAATTGGAAATGTGCTGTACCTTAGTTGTTACTCCTCAGTCATGTCTGTGTAACAATTCAGTCAACAGAAGACTGAGTTTACAGCCACAGCCCACTAAGATGATGCCATCTAGTGAGGTCATAGGCACTTTGGAATGCTTTTATTCCCATAGTGAAAGAACTGTAAAGATTCATCTCTCAGTATGTCCCTATCGTTAAGGTGCACAAATTGCACATGTAAATCAGAACATTATTACTCAAAAAATGACTATGGTTTGTTAAAAATTTGTATTGTAAATTTTTAAAACAAGGGAAAAAAACTGGCCTGTGGGCCAAGTCCAGCCCACCATTTTCTTTTTGTAAATAAAATTCAGTTGACCCACCCGTTCTTTTCCATGCTACCTATTGCCACATTCTTGGTACACAAATAGATGTTTGCCTTTACAGTAGGCATCACACATTTAGAGACTTAGCTTCTTATCTGGCTATTACAGAAAAACCTTTGTCAATACCTGCTCTGTGATAATCCTGATGCTGAGATTGAAAACTTAAAAAGAAATAGTGCTTATACTACCTAATACTATCAAGAGACTTTGTCTCTCACCCTCCACATTCTTGTTTCCTTTTCAAACGCCCTAGTTGCACTGGTATGGGAAAATACTTTCTCCTATCATTTGCTTATTCACCTAAAATAAGCATTGTTTTTCTTAGTCACTTTGGCAACAAAAACTTTCCCAATATAACCAGGAAATATGGATTTTCCCTAACATCTCTGATTTTCTTTTAGTTACTGTAAATAGTGCTATAATTTTATACTGTAGTTCCTAAAGAACAGAGATCCCTTCATGGTAGCTTAAGAGAAAGATTCATGGCAAAGCTTCATGTGAACTGGAAATAGAAAGTTGTCAGGTACAGAGGGAACTGTACGGAAGTGTTCTAGCTAACATGTACATGATCCCACTCATAGCAGCTTTGCTTCACTCACACATCTTCCCTAGTTGCTATCCTAAAAGCTGGCCTTCTCCAGTTACCTATTTCATTGCTTCTATACAAATCTTTCAGAATATGCCTTCCATCTGCCATCAGTCTGCAATATTACCTCATGCCATTCTTTATGTTCTTCTATCCTATTCTTGATTTTTAGTTTTAGGATCATAGTATTGGTCTGGTTCATCTTTTCCTGCCACTTGGTTTCATTGAATTCTGGTAACTTAAATATTATCTGCTCTTCAGCTGAGTTTCCACTTTCACTAAACATCAGTAGTTTAATCATTTAGTTTAAAACTCGGCAGGAATACCTATGAATGAAGAATATTTTTTCACAGTTGAAGGCCATATAGTGAATATTCAAGGATTAACTATTCCAGTAGTCATTCCATAGACTTTGGTTCATATTCTATTATCTTACCTTATATATAAAATATTTGCCTTTCATAAATTAACTTTTGATATTTAAAATTTGGGGGGATGCAATAGATATTATATTTCTAAGCTTTCTATATTATCTAGTATGTAAAATACTTGTAATTTATAAATTAAATATAAATATTTTATAGTGTGAAGTAAATTTTATCATATTGATCAGCTTAGTACTTTTCTCTCTAGAAGTAGATAAGCTTTCACTGAAATATAAATACTTCAATTTTCCACCTATAATTTAAATAAGCTGTATGGACTGAACTTCTAACTCTCAGATCTCAGCCCTGATGTTCACTTCTAAATTGAAATACAGTTTTGAACACACTCAGTTTGGGGGCCTGTTCTCTAGATGCTATGTATCTCTTGGGAATGCTTTAAAGACCAATAGTTCATGCAATATTGTATCTTTGATAAAAATCAAATTGAAATTGTGTACATAGTCTGTAGGGCTTTTAATTTTCAATTATAGGATCCTGAAGGTCATTCCTGTAAGTTTTTAGAAAGTTGATCAATTGACTTGTAAATGGTTTTGGCCTTGCAACTTGTCTAGTTCATAAGATACATAATCAAGTCGTTGACTTCTTTCTGTTGGAGACTTCTTAGCCCTGATTTTTATAGATAACCTTAGTATTTTGTGACTTATAGTGAAAATCCTAGCCAGTACATTTTATACTCTCTTCACCCCCAACACAGACTATTTAGCTTTCCCTTCACAGTCAGGCTCATGTGTACCATATGCTCTTGTATGTAATCAGACACATCTGGAAGTAGAAAAGTAACTGTCCTCAAGAGGGAGATGCATAGAAAAAGATGGAAAACAAAAAAGAACAAATATGAAGACAACTTCATACTGATGGTAGTGTTTGTGTATCTCAAAGAAAGCAGAGGATGATTGATCATGAGTAGTAAGAGTTCTTTGAAGAAAAGTCCTTTTCCACAGTATTTAAAAATGTTTTGTTTGTTCTAATTTTCAAGATGATTATAGATCTTGGGATATTCAGAAATGTGAACTGTGTAAACCAGAGCAAGTTTACCATCCCCCAGATGTGAAATTCGGAAATTCAACTACATTTCAGGATGACTATGTTCCCCGAGAGATAAAGCCTAGGCAAAGCTTTAAGCCCTGCTCTGGGGTCAAGTGTTCTGTAGGCCCCTTTAATGGTGAGACAAGTCATCGTCGAGATTTTGTACCTCACCAGCTAGAAGTCATGTTTGCAAGGCCAAAAGAAGTTTATAAGCCTACTGACCAGCCTTTTGAGGATCTCACCACTCACCGGAACGACTTTCAGGGTTTTGCTGGAGAAACTGCAAAAATCTGCAGACCTGCCTACACAAGAGTAACCCAAAACACTCAATTTAAAGGAAGCACTGAATTCCGTGACAGTTTCCAACCATGGGAAATTCCACCACCTAAAGTCAAGAAATTAGCAGAGTATGTGCCCCCTCCAGGAAGCATGCAGTTAAACAGCACCAGCCATCTTGACTATGTTCCCTATCAGGCCAGCCGTGTTGTTGCCATCAGGCCCATTTCTCACAGAAGAAAAAGCAATTTTCCTTTCCAAGGAAAAAGCACCATGAAGGAAGATTTTCCAGTGTGGGAAAGTTGTCATCAAGGACTTATTAAGCAGCAGCAACAGATTCCCAATCCGTCTGGAAAATTTGATGGCTTGAGCACTTTCAGATCTCACTTTGTGCCACATGAATTAATTCCAACAGAGAGCTGCAGACCTTTGAATGCTGCTGTTAAGAGTTCGGTTCCACTTGATGATGTTACCATGTATTCTATACAGTACACCCCGAAGAAACGGGAAATCTGCCCAGCTAGCTATCCTTCTCCTCCAGGTTATGTATTTGAAAATACAAATTCCCAAGGACATAAATTCTTTCGCAAGATCATTCCTGCAATGAAGGCCTTTTAGTAATCAAATAATTTTAAAAGAAAGCTAATGAGAGTTCAGTTTTTTAAGAGAAAACCCAAATTTTACAGTGAAAAATTATTAGAGTTATATCATTTTTAGCTTTTTAAACAAGTTGGGACATATAGATCAGAATTCCCAAATCCATTTCATACTAATGGTTTAAGCCAAGAATGTTCTTTGTTGTTCTTATTTTTTGATTTTTGAACCAGGGCCTCCTTTGTCTCTCCATGCTAGCCTGGAACCTGCAGTCTACCAGTGTCAGTCTCCTGATTCAAGACTGTTCTTCAATGGACATTACTGAAGGCTAAATGATGTGCATGCTCATCTACATATGTCTGTTATCATTTATACTTCTTTTTATAATTACACAATTATACAGCTACTCTATGTTAGTTACCAGATACATTGGGACTCTCTAGAACTAAATGGAAGGTGAGACATGAATTTCTCTTCCAAAAAGTCCAGGATTTACTCTTTTATTCATTCATTCATTTATTCATTCATTCAACGTATTTACAGAGCATTGAACAAGTCGAGTTTGGTTGGTGATGTCAGAAACTACTTCTCTGCTCCTTGCCATGTTCAGCATAGTAAGAGACATTATTATTTGAAAAGGAAAGGTCCTCTGGTCTGGGAATCAGAGGACCAGAGTTCAACTACTAATATAATCAGTTTCTGTTAATGCCACTGTAAGCAAACTGCTCACATACATACCATTGTGATTCGTGTGTAAAAAATATTGGTCCTGTGTACCTCACAAAAGTTTGTTGGGAGCATTAAATCATGTAAAACATTTGAATGCATAAAGTACACAAGAAAGGTGTGATTAACTAGCTATCAGCTACTTTTCGTACTTACTTTTTTCCTTTTCAAATAAGGATAATTACAGACTTAATACTCATTACCTGCTCTACAGCAAAGATTATAAAATAACTTTTGAGTTTATGAGTAATATGCATTTGTGAGAGGCATCTGCCCTCTACAGAGTCACAGGCACCCTATAAATTATGGCAGAGAATAGAGAATTGAGATTAAATACTTTGGTGTGAATGGCTACATTTTCAAAAGGAAAAATATTTGCTAGGGCAGTTTTAGGGAACATTTTCAGCTATGACAAAATCTTCAGGAGAAACAGGTACCTATGCATTCAGTGGCCATACCCAGAGTCACTGTTCACTAGTAAGAGCTGTAACTACCTTGTTCACCACTGAAAGTTTAAGGATAAGTGCTAAGAAGGAAGGGGAAGAGATGCCAATGAGGGACACGGAAATAGCATACTACACTTATAAATGCTGAAAGTTTCTAGAGAGCTAAGATCAAGTAATTATTTTAATAAGTGATCATACGTAGGAAAACATGATTGACTTTAAAATGAATTTTAATGTTTTCATAGTTGTTTAAGAATATGTAGTATTTTATGAAGTATTTCTAATTAATTGAAAGGAATTCCCAATATTTGCATTTGTTATAAATACATAATGTTTGAAAATTGTTTTATGTGTAATTAATAAAATGGATTGGTTTTCATGAAGTCATTTCTGTATTTTAGCTGATATTGAACTTCCAAATAAATTCCTATCTGGAAAAGCCTATACATAAGTAGATACACATTATTTTAAAATAAAAATACTATAATAATAAAAAATTTAAATTGGATAATATTGTACCATCCTCTTCATCCTGGTACATGTTCCAATGTTTAATATTCAAATCCCACTGCAATTTGATGGGTTGGTCTCCTCTCTGAACAAAAGTCATCCTTAAGAAGACATCTACTGGCATTTTCTGAAGCAGTCTTCCTTAGGCTAAGGACACACTGATGACACTGCAACGATAAACGGCACACTTGTTGAGGGTATAGGTAACTGTTTATTGTAGAAATTACTCACAAGAAAAAGATAAGCAACCCAGATGAGTCAAGTAGTTTTCTGCCACCGAACTGGAAGCCGAAAGAGAGTGAGCGCTGTGCTGTTAAGTCTTTTATTCCTTCCTCCGTACACGCCCCTAGCCATGCCCAAAAGTGAGCCTGGCTATTGGCGTAGTTCCACCGCCCTGTCTCTAGTCATGCCTAAAGTGGGTGTGGTTAGCGGCACAGTTCCGCCCTTTCGTTACCACATCCCTATGCGTCTTTAGAGCGCCACAAGGCTAATGGTGGAGTCCTAATTTTCCCCCTATACACAGACATACTGTTTGTCACACTGTAACTTAATATAATAGGTGTGAAAATGGAAATTAGAACAGATCATAGCCTAAGACATTCAGGTGGGAGTTCAGGAACATCTCCCTTAAGGAATGCCTTCTGAGCTGAGCCTTGAAAGATAAATAGCAAGAAATAAGGATGAAGAAAAGTCGAAGGGACAATACCCTATTTTGCTTTCTATTGCTATGATAAAGACCATGACCAAAAGCAACTTGGGGGTGAACAGGTTTATTTCATCTTACTGCTTATAGTCCATCATGAAGGGAATTCAGAGAAGGACTTGGAGGCAGAAACTGAAGCAGAATCCAAGGGGAAGAATTGCTTACTTGTTTTCTGTTTCTTTCTTAGCCCACTTTCTTATGTAAACCTGGGCCATAGGCTCAGGGGTAGCACTGCCTATAGTAGACTAGACCCTCCCCCACCAATCACTAATCAAGACAATGCTCACAGATGTACCTACATATAGGCCAATCTGATAGAGACATTTCCTCCATGAGATTCCCTCTACCTCTATGTTAAGTTGATAAAAACTAACCACAAAATTTTTGTTTTACTGGTTTCCTTCTTTCCTTCCTTTACTTTTTTGTTTTTTGTGGTTTTTCCTCCTTTTATGAGAGAGAGGGGTATATGGAGAACATGCATATAACATTGGGTGGGGAGGAGTTGGGGACAGGGACATAATATGACCAAAATATACCATATAAAAATAATTTTAAGCCAGCAATATTGAACCTTTGTCACTATGACATATAAATACATCACTGTTAAACCATAACCAGTCATTTCTTGTTTATTCCCAAGATCTCATGTTAATATCACAGTCCCACAGTCTTTTTAAAAATTCAAATGGTCAGTGAGGAGGCCTAGGCAATCTATGGGGCTTTGGGTAGTCAATCAGTATTTATCCCTGGAACACAAATGGTCTGTGGGTACCCATGCCACAATGAGGGATACTCTCTCAATCTGGGCACTTGGGGGAGGGCCTGGGCCCTCCCTGGAATGAAATTACAGACTCTAGATATCCCCCATGGAGGCCCTTACCCTCTCTGGGGAATGGAGTGGGGATTGGGTGGGGTTCTGGGAGGTCGAGGGGGAGCGGGCATGGAGGGGAGGGAGAGGGAACTGGGACTGACATGGGAAGCAAGCTTGTTTCTAATTTAAATATATAATAAAAAAGTGTTTAAAAAATTCAAATGGTCTTTTAAAAATATTCAGCATCTTTTTAAAAATCTAAAGACTCTCAACTGTTGGCTCCTGTAAAATAAAAGTTACATACTTTTTATTCCAAGAGGGAAGACCCAAGACACAGTTACAATTAAAGCAAAATTAAAATTACGAAAGAAGTTACAATTAAAGCAATACCCATCAGTATAAATAGCTCAATACTCAATGTCATAAATTCACTCGTGATCTTCTGAGCTCCAAGTGGCATGGACTGCTCCTTCTCTCTGGCTCTGTAGGTCATCTGCACCACACCCTGCTTGTCTCATTGGATCAGGCCAGCTCCACCCCATATCTGCTGCTGTTCTTGATCATACCTTGGTTCTTACATCTCCAATATGCTGGGGTCTCCTGCACTGTTTCACCTCCACCAATGGCATTCTGACATCTATTCAAGGACTCCAAACCTGCCACCTGATGCTAAATCTCAGCCATTCTCCAGGACTCCTTTAATTCTGGAGCTTCCATTGCTCCAGAGGCTTCACCAGTGGTCTCTCCTGGGTTCTCACAGGGACAAGCCTCAACTGTTCTCCATGACCCCTTTAGACTTGCAGCTTCCATGTGGCCAAAACCACTTGTGAATATTCTTACACAATACCAAGTTCAGCTGCCAGTTTGAGATGCAGCACTGGACCTCTATGAGCCACAGCTTCCTGTGCTAACTCTAAGAGATACTTTGAAGATTTCACTTCAGTAACTGGCCTCTTATTAATCAAAGCCAATTCTTCATCCCACCTGATCCAGAAGCTAGAGATCTTTATAAAATATATCACACAAATAGTCCTGACAGTCTTTACTTCCTCTGAAAGTTCACATGCCAGGACAACATCACCTACACTTAATACTCTTATCTTCCAAGCATCTCCAAAAAAGCCCATTAAACTTTGAACGTTCAGTGGCTTTTGCAGCTCAGAGTTCCAAATGCATGGCCAGGTCTGTCACATCAATACCATGTGGTTCAAACAGCAATTTCTGTTCTAGTTTGTTTTCTGTTGCTGTGATAAACATCATGACCAATAGAAAATTGAGGAGAAAGGGTGTTATTTCATGTTATGATCCATCATGAAGGGAAGTCTGCAGAAGTGGGAAGTCTCAAGGTGGGAACCTAGAAGTATGAACAGAAGTATGGTGGAGAAACACTGTCTACTGGCTAGTTCATCATGGATTTCGCAAGCTACTCTTATAAAATCTAGGACCACCTGCCCATATATATATATGAAAAACCACATTCACATAAAATAAATTAATTTTTAAAAAGCAAAAAATGCCTGATTGTAGAGATGTCTCAGCAGTTAAAAGCACTAGCTGCTCTTCCTGCGGTCCTGAATTAAATTCCCAGAAACCACATGGCAGCTCGCAATCAAAATGTCCTCTTCTTGCCTACAGGAATACCTGCAGACAAAGCACAAAAAGTAAATCCTAAAAGAAGAAGCAAAATTGCCTGACAGATGTGCCTACAATGTCAATCTGATGGGGGCATTTTCTCAATTGAAGTTTCCTCTTCCTCCATGACTCGAGCTTGTGAGAACTTGGGAAAAAACAAAACAAAACAAAAAAACTTAACCAGCACAAACCAGTATAAATGCAGGTCTCGTTAAAGAGATGTTTTAGGGTAACATCAATGGAAAGTTAGCAATCCCAAATTACTGGCTTCTTAAGTCTCTTCAAAATCCTATTCAGGAAAATATATTTGCATATTTTAGAAAAGCATTGGAAACTACTAATATTCAACACTCTGCCTGAGTTTAGAAGGAGAAGGAGTTTCCATTAAGGTAAACTTGGATAATGCATTGTAGGGGAAAATTCAAAGTGAAAGTTTGATACTAATTTCCACCTCTATCCCGTCTCATTTTTTAAAAAACGGTGTGTCTGTACCTGTGCTCACCTGATTTCTAACAAAGAAGCCAAAAACACTCTGAAATAAAAAGACAGCATCTTCAACCAATAGTGCTGGTCAAACTGGGTTGTCTGTATGTAGAAGAATGAATATAAATCCATATATATATCAACCTGCATGAAACTTAATTCCAAATATATCAAAGACCTCAACATAAGACTAGATAGCCTGAATCTGAAAGCAGAAAAAGAGGGAAATAGTCTTGAACTCATTGGCACAGGAAAAGACTTTCAGAACACCCATAGCAAAGGCACTAAGAACAATAATTAATAAATGGGACCTCATGAAAATGAGAAGCTTCTGCATGACAAAAGGCACTGTCATTCAGGCAAAGTGGCAGCCTACAGAATGAGAAAAGATCTTATTTTTACAAATTACATATCTGATGGTCAGACCCGTAAAATGTATAAAGAACTAAAAAATCTGGACATCAAGAAACAAATAACCCAATGAAAATTAACTGGGTTAAATTAATTTAAACAGAATTCTCCAAAGATGAAACACAAATGTCTGAGAAACACTTAAAGAAATATTCAACATCCTTAGTCATCAGAGAAATTTAAATCAAAATTACTCTGAGATTTCATCTTACACCAGTCAGAATGGCCAAGATCAGTAAAACAAATGGCATCTCATGCTGATTAGGATGTGGGGAAAGAGGCATCCTTATCTCTTGCTGGTGGAAGGGCAAACTTGTACAGCTACTATAAAAGTCAATATGATGCTGCAACGATAAACGGCACACGTATTGGGAGTATAGGTAACTGTTTATTGCAGAAATTACTCACAAGAGAAAAACAAGCAACCCAGATGAGCCGAGTATTTTTCCACCGCCGAACTGGAAGCCGAATAGAGTGTGAGAAGTTCTGCTGCTCAGTCTTTTATTCCTTCTTCCATACACGTGGGCCTGACTAGTGATGTAGTTCACCACCTACGACTGTATACATCTTTAGTCACGCCTAAAGTGGGTGTGGTTAGTGGTGTGGTAAACCGCCCTTTTATTACCTCATCTGTATGTGCCTCTAATATGCCACATGGCTAATGGCTAATGGGGGAGGACCAAATTTCCCCCTACAATTCCCCTTTTAGTCTAAAAAGGATATTTAAACTTAAAACAAAACTAACTTGTGTCAATGAACAAAATGTCTCAAACATCTATTCCATCTAAACCTAAGCTTATCTGAAAGAAACACCAAAGTCTGAACACCTCCTTCCAGTCCCAACTCTAAAATAATTGAAAACCAACACTAACAGGTGTAAACTATCATATAATATC